AGACGCGACTTGGCGCGCTGCCTGCACTGAGTCCCAGCTTCATGTCTTTCAGCCACCCATCTGCTCTACCCTCTACCTGCTTACCACCCGCCATCCTGACCGCCTTGCTACCGGTTGCGATCACTTCCTTAGTCTCCACCCCGCTGACCTCACCCTCACTGACTTTGTCGACACCCTGTCTGCCATAGAGACCCGCCGGCGCTCTATCGCCCATTCTAGCGGTACTATGCCGGTCACTATCTTTCAGGGTTGTGCCCCTGCTTAGTGCACTTTCTCTGACGGTTGTGCTGCTGTCGTTGAGACAGCGCCTGCTGTGGCAACGGTTGTCGCAGCGCAGTTCCGTCCGGAGAAGGGTCGCCGCCCCAACGATGGGCGCGGCGGCGGTAGTGGAGGAGGTGGTGGAGCCAGGCCGCCCGCTGGTAGTATGGACGAGGGGACTGGGGCTGGTGCTTGCGAGCAGCAGGACCAGCAGCAGCAGTAGGCGCCGCAACACCAGCCGCAGCACGAGCCGCAGCAGCAGCAGCGGCGGGCTGGTGGTCTCCCGCCCGGGTGGCCTGGCGCTGGTGGTGGCGGTGGACGTGGTGGTCGTGCGCGCAGTGTACCGTCGGGTGGTAGTTCGGGTGACGGGCACTGTCAGTACCAGCTCCAGACCGGTCCTCGCCGCAGCTCCGTGTGCGGTAAGATCGGTCACACCCCACCCCCCCCCCCCTCTGTTTTCGTCGCCTAGACGACCTGTTTCGTCTTCGCTTCGGCCCGTCGCCCGACCTCCCCGTTTGGCACAGCTTGCTTCGTCATAGTGTTCAGATCTTTGATATGGACATGGATGAGATTAGCTCTGCTTTGTATGTGCTGTATGTCGATGACTCTAGTGTGACTGGTTTCTACTACCCCTTGTTGCCCAGTGTAGGTGTGCCTAGTCCGGCCTCCCCTGCTGCGTCAGGCGTAGGATGCCCTGCCTAATTCACTCTCGCGACGTCACATTTGACGAGTCCATCTCCTTCTACCATCGCTTCCCCCACCGTGCTCCCCCGGTTACTCCCCCCCTGTTCTTGGTTCCCCCTCCCCCGGTCGCCCCTGCCCCTCCCCTTCTCCGCCCTGCCCCATCTGGTGTGTCTCACATCACCCCCCTGTCGTTGGTTGTCCCGGTCGAGGACTCTGCTGACTCTAGTGGCCGTGTGGCATAGTCCTCACCGCCCGCCCCTCCCTCTGTGTCTCCTCCTCCGTCGTCGCAGCCGCCGCCGCCGCCACAGCCGTCGTCGCAGCCGCAGCAGCAGCAGTTCGTCGACCCTTGGGGTGCTGGTGTGGGGGAGGGTGCTCGTCCTGGTGTTCCTGTCGTGGCTTGTCCCGGCGGGCCTGGGGTTGGTACCGGTGCTAGAGAGGTTCCTAGTTCTGGGCATTTTGGAGTGGAGTGTTCCGGAGTTGGCCGTGGAGCAGCTGGCGGTCCCGGCGTCGCCATCGTGCTGCCGCAGCAGCAGTCGCCGCCGGTGTCAGCCCTTCGCCTGCTCGGCCTTCCGTCCCCTGACCGCGCGTCTGTGCCTCCTCCACCGTCTGCTCCCCTTCATGTCTACAGCCCCCTGTTCCCTCCTCCGGACTCGTCTCCAGCCCGTCTTCCCCCACGTTCTCCTCCTGTGTCTCCTCCTCTGTTTCCTGACCCGCCCCTGAGGGGATGGAATTCTTTCAGACCTTCGCCCCGGCCCCGAAGATGACCACTCTTCGGGCGTTGCTACACGTAACAGCATAGTGTGACTACGAGTTACACTCCCTCGACTTCTCCACTGCTTTTATGCAGGGCAGCCTACACGAGCAGGTCTACCTGCGCCGCCCTCAGGGCTTCACTGGTACCTTCCTTCTTGGGACCCAGTGGCTACTGCGGCGCCCAGTCTACGGCTTGCGACAGGCGCCCCGTGAGTGGCACGACACGCTGCGTGCTACCCTTGCTGTCCTGCAGTTCTTTCCGTCCTCTGCAAACCCCTCGCTCTTCGTTCGTGCTGGCCGGACCCGGTTCTACATCCTTGTTTACGTAGACAGCCTGGTCTTCGTCACTGCAGACAGGGACGCACTGGCCTCCGTGAAGGCAGAGCTGTTGAAGAAACACACCTGCACTGACCTAGGAGAATTGCGCCGCTACCTTGGCCTCCAGGTCTCTAGGGACAGAGCAGCACACACCATCACTCTCACCCAGTCCATTTGGTGCACCAGGTCCTTCAGAGGTTCGGTCTTCAGTTCTCCTCCGCACAGCCCATACCTTTGCCAGTAGATCACAGGCTCTCTGCTCTTGTTTCTGAGGAGTCAGTAGAGCCCAATGGTCCTTACGCAGAGCTGATGGGTTGCCTCATGTACCTGATGACTTGCACTCGTCCAGATCTCGCATACCCTCTTAGCATCCTGGCTTGCTTTGTGGCCACTGGCAGACACCGACCACAGCACTGGTCGGCCGCTAAGAGGGTTTTGTGTTATCTGGCAAGTACATCGGGCATGGGGTTAGTGCTAGGAGGACGCAGGCCAGTGGTCCTTACAGGGCACACAGACGCTTCTTGGGCAGACGACGCTGAGACACTCAGGTCCTCGCAGAGCTACTACTTTAGCCTTGGTTCAGGTGCTGTCTCGTGGAGAGCTACTCGCTCCTCGTCTGTTGCCCAGTCCAGCTGTGAGGCCGAGATCTACGCTGGTGCCATGGCGGCACAGGGGCTGACCTTCTTGCTCATTGACTTAGGTGAGCGTCCTAGCTCTGCTCCGGTCCTGTACGCTGACAACAGGGCCATGATCCTCCTGTGTCAGGAGCCTCGACTTGAGGGCAGAGCGAAGCACATCCAGCTACGGTACTTCCTCCTGCGCGAGCTACAGCAGCGCCGCCAAGCTCGCGTAATACACTTGGCCTCCGGTGCCAACACAGCTGATATCTTTACGAAGACGCTTGCGCCTAAAGATCATCAGCGGCTCTGTGTACAGCTAGGTCTCGTTCTTGTAGCCTCTCACTTGCTAGGTCCTTGATTATGTACAGACCTTTATATATATTTTACCCTGACTGACCTTGTGGCCTCTCCCAGTGGCTGGAGTAGTAGTGCCGCCCTGGTCTTGCTCTTGCCTTGGTTTGTACTTGTTTGACTGGTCTTTAGACCCTTGCCTCAGAGGTTAGACTAGTAGTGCCACCCTGAGCTGCTTGTCTCTCAACAGACACTGCCCCTATCCAGTCTAGGGGGTGTGTCAAACACATTTGCGTGTGATGTTGTAGACCATGTAGGTTTGTGCCTTAGAGAGTATAGCCCCCTAGGTTACAATGCCTTGTACTCTCAAATTCTAGTCATTCTTTCAGTTTGACAGATGTCACCATGCCAAGCCCGAGGGGTAGATACCGGCTGATCTTGAGCATGGGGGTGTAAGGGGTTAGGGGGTGTGTGTGTTGGGTGGACTTGTGACTACCAAGCCTAAGGGGTGTGTTAAATTATATATTGTGTTACCAAACTCTACTGTAATTTGTAGGCTTGGTAGGTTACCGAACTCTACTGTAGAGGGTACAACTCCCTCCTTGTATGCCTCTCTCTTCCTAGTCTCACCCTCTTTTCTCTTGTAACTTTCTCTCCTAGCTCCTAAACCTCTCGCCATTTCATAGCCGCCTACCTTCCTAGCTAACCTAGCTTCATAACACTCTCTTGTTTCTAATCATTATGCTATTCTAACACAGCAAGGCGGGCAATAATGCATGCGGCTCGTCAGGTTGCCACATTTGGGACCACGATTTGAATTTCGTGGCAGAGCTGCGTGGCAGGCAACCAGACCCCCAAATTGCAGACTTTTTACTTAGATTCGGAATTTTTTCAGAGTTTTTTTTTTTTGTGTACTCTGATTGCATATACTTTTTTTTGTACCTTACTCTGATTTTTCAGAGAACCTTTTTGTACCTATGCTGATTTTTCAGACTTTTTTTACTAGTGCACTCTGATGCCTCAACCCTATATGGGGGGTTGACTCTGATTCTGTGTAATACCGAGATTTGGGGGGAGTGTGATTTGCGCTGGTACCCCTGTGGAGGGCGCTGACTGGCCCTTAGCCATAATCAGGGCGTGATGCTTGGTAGGGGGGGGTTTTGTGAGGGCGCTTACTATCCCTTCACGAAATCAAATGTCAAGATTTACTGGGGGCTGTGTGAGGGAGCTGACTGACCCTTCGCGAAAATCGAAGGCCAGCCAATGAGTACAAGGGGGCTGTGTGAGGGAGCTGACTGGCCCTTCACCAAAATCACCTCCCAACCAGTGCTAGGGGCAGTGTGAGGGGCCGATTGGCCCTTCACCAAAAAAGCATTCCTTTCCTCCCCCAATTTCCTCCCGCACGCACATGTCGTTTGTCACGAACCAGTCCACCCCATTGCTGGCACGTGAAATCAGCGTGGGCTGGGGGTCTTGGGCAGGGCTTACGTTTGGTTTTTGGGGCACCCACCAAATCTGGGAATCTGGCCGAAACTACCCGTCTTAATCCGTGTTCAGTACCCTGTTTTGTCAAAATTTACCTGTCAAATCCGGTTTCACTTTCACAGCCAGTTCTGCCAAAAGGACCCGTCAGAATCCGGGTTCAAACCCTGTTTTTGGAAAAGTCACCCGTCGGAATCCAAGTTCAGCGAAAAAGTCACCCGTTATTTCGCCGAAATTCGGAAAACTACCCGTCAAAACACGCCCTGGTCTTGGGTGGTACGATTGTGCGATTTCGCCCGCACACAAATGTAGCTGGAGTACGAAGAAAGCGAAATTGGAGGAGTTGGTAGATGAGCCTGAGTAGAAGACATTCAATGATATGTGATGTGACAACGGCTTTAAAATCAGGGTTTGAAAGCATAGTGACTTTGATTGATCATACAAAAAATCTCTAGTTACTCTGATTTTTTTATTTTATTTTTTAGGGGCAACTCTGATGGCCATACCAAGGGATGGCATGCGAGTCTGACGAATCAGACAACCCCAAAACCAATTTGGGGGCCTGCAGGCAACCCCATTGTATCAGTGTAAGCCTTACTGCATAAAATCCATCATAAGGAAATACCATTTCCTTTCAGGTAGGTGCTATGCTCATATCTCAACGGTAAGCACCTTATATAGGTCCCTTGTTCTTGCTTACACATTTCTGATGGGAAATCTTGCTCTGGACATGCCTTCGATGGTACGGTAAATCTCCCATGTGGGATGTCTCGTTCACAAGGGTTTAATGTATTTCTGGGGACACAGCATCTTCTTGATAGTGCATGTTATTGCCGGTGCTCAATTCAGCTTGCAGTAGTTCACACAAAACTGCCTGGTGCTGCCTGGAGCTGTGTGGTGCTCTCTGGTGCTCCCCGTGCTGCCTGATGCTCCCTGATGCTGCCGGGTGCTGCCTGGTGGCGTGTCACAGTGATCATGATCCAATCGCCAAGTCGCAGCAACAACAGGCCTTGGCAACACCGGAACCACAGAAGTGTTTGGCATTGCTCCTCGGCTGCTCTGCCCCTCTGCTGCCCGCACACAAGGTGGGAAAGACTATGAGGGTAGGAAGGAGGGATAAGGATAGGAGGAAGGATGGAGGTGGGCGGGCCGGGGTCTCTATGGCAGGATGCAGAGTCCTGCAAAGGGCCCTGGCTTCACCTGAGGGTGAACAAACCCCCCCACCATCATATGCTGTGCCACTGCTGCCTCTGCTACTAATGACCCCTGCCCTGCCGCTGCCGCTCCTTCTCCCCCCCGTGCTCCTCCTCCTTCTGGTCCTGCTGTGGTGCCTGCCATTGTTCCTGCTGCTGCTCCTCCCACTGCTCGTCTTGTCGGTGTGATTGCTCTCCCTGGCAACACACCACCCTGCTGCTGTTGGAGTTGGTGTTGGTGTTGATGTTGCTGCTGTTGCTGTTGCTCATTCAAACTGCCACTGCCACTGCCACTGCCGATGCTGCTACCGCAGCTTCCCCCACCTCCACCTGTTTTCGTTGACTCGAGCCATCCAAACTCAGGAGAAGGGGACCGACTGGGGTTGTTTGACACCACAGGCACACACACACTCGCTGCCACCCCTCCCCCTTCTTCCCCTCCTCCTCCTCCTCCTCCTCCTCCTCCTCCTCCTCCTCCTCCTCCTCCTCCTCCTCCTCCTCCTCCTCCTCCTCCTCCTCCTCCTCCTCCTCCTCCTCCTCCCCCCCCGCTATGCAGACCTCCCACACTCACTCTGTTTCCTCCCACCCCGCTCCCCTCGCCTCCTCCTCCACCCACTACACCCCCACTGTTCCCACTACTGCCGGCTCGCGTGACTATAGTTGCAGTCAGCGTCCCTGCCGGTGCTGCTGACGACGACCGTCCAAACAAACCCCCCACAATACCACCACCACCACCACTGCTTCCACCGCCGCCACTGCTGCCAGAATGCCTCCCACCCCCTCCAAGTCCCCCACCAGCACCACTAGAACCGCCAGAACTCGCCCTCAAACCACCACCACTCCCTGCTGCCCCTCCGCTCCCACTCAACCCCAGCGCAGGCGCCTGCGCGGATGGGCTCGGGGGCGTGGGGCGGCGGAAGGCAGCAGCGGAGGAGGAAGCGAGGACGGTGCGCTGCAGGGCGAAGTCGTGGCAGTGGGAGGGCGAGTCCAGCGTGAGCTGCGAGTACCAGCACGGCGTGCGGTCGCTGATGTTGTTCACGATCCACCCGTTGGAGGAGCCCGAGCCGTCGCAGTGATACACCACCTGGCTGCGGTAGAGCGCCGGCTGGGGTGGGGGGGGGAAGGGAGACAAGGAGGGAGCAGAGGGCAGAAAGGGGTTGTCAGAGCTAGTTGATCCAAACAGAGCGGTCGCTGATGTTGTTCACGATCCACCCGTTAGAGAAGCCGGAGCCGTCACAGTGGTACACCACCGGGCTGCGGTAGAGCGCAGGCTGGGGTGGGGAGGACATGGGGGAGAGGAGTAGGGAGGAAGGAAGTGGGGTGCTGTCAGGGCAGTGCGGTCGCTGATGTTGTCCACAATTCACCCGTTGGACCAGCCGGAGTTGTCGCAGTGGTACACCACCTGGCTGCGGTAGAGCGCAGGCTGGGGTGGGTAAAGAGGGGAGGGGAGAACCAAGAAGGGTTCAAGAAGGGATGCTGTGGGGTGCAATACATTGAAATGAGGGGTTTAGAGAGGAAGCTGATGCGGGATAGACGGTGAAACGAGCTGACATCCGAGCAGAAAGTCTAAGGCAAAATCCTAACATGGCAGTTTGAGCAGCAGCAGCAGCAGCAGCAGCAGCACCTTAATCAGGGCCACAAGTGTGGCTGTAGGCGATGACGCAACAGCCAATATCGAGTACGAATCCTCCAGCGCGTTCAGCACAAGGGCGTTATCAGAGGACTGCTTCACAAGCACAAACTTGAGCGACCTGCTCTGCTGGCTCGAGCTCCCCCCCCCTCCACCCCCCCCACCACCACTACCACCACCACCGCCGCTGCTACTACTGCTGCTGCTGCTGCCGCCGCCACTAGTGTGGTGACTAGTCACCACATGTGGTGTAGGTATGCTGCTGCTGCTCCCATAAATATGGCCGTTGCCGCTGCCATGAGACACACTGCCGCCAAACCCCATGCTGCCAAGCATGTTGCTGATGCCGTTGCTGATGCCGCTGCTGATGCCGCTGCTGCTGCCGCTGCTGTTGCCGCTACTGTCGCCATTGCTGCTGCTGGTGGTGTTGCTGCTGCTGTGGTGGGAGGTCAAGCCGCTGAACCCGCCGCTGATCCCACTGCTGATACCGCTGCTGCTGCCACCACTGGTGCCAGTGCCAGAGTCCCTAACGGCGCTCCACACGCCCACCCACCGGCCGTCCCCGTACACCAGACACGTGGGCACACGGTCGTGCTCCTCGAACCCCTGACACGCGATTGCAGCGGGCAGGGGGCGAGCCGGGGGATTGGGGGGAGGGGAGGGGGAGGGGGTTTCTAAGGGAGGGGAGACTGGATAAAGGGAGGGATGTAGAAAGAGAGGAGGAGGGCAATGATGACAGGAGAACTCCAACAGGCGTTTGAATGAGGTTAAAGCGAGGTTCGAGCCTCAAGTGTCTCCTCCCTTACTGGTGTGTCTCTCCTACCCTCACTCTCTCCTCTACCTTCCACTCGTACCACCACCATGCCACCACACACCCTCTGGAAAGTGCGGATGAAATCTGGCAGGCTCGTCGAGCAGACCAGCCCCTGCGACAGGGCCGGCATGGCGCCGCCCTTGCTCATCACCACGAACCACTGCCCCAAGCCCTGCGCGAGCGCGGTCGCTCATGCCGACACTCACGCCGTCACTCACGCCATCACTGACTCACCCTCTGGAAAGTGCGGATGAAATCTGGCAGGCTCGTCGAACAAACCAGCCCTTGAGAGAGGGCCGGCATGGCGCCGCCCTTGCTCATCACCACGAACCACTGCCCCGAGCCCTGCGCGAGCGCGGTGACGCGCAGGCCCTGCTCGGACTGGCGCACGATGTACTTGGATGCCGCGTCGAAGGACGGGAAGAAGTTGCACGTCTGCAGCGAGAACACGTGCGACGCGTACGCCGCGCGCCACACGTTGCAGCCGTACCCCACGGCCACGATTTGACTGGCGGTGGGCGTGGTTGGTTGGGGGGAGAAGAGGGGGGAGGAGGGGCGGAGTAGGAGCGGGGGAAAAGGGGGAGGGGGCGGGGGAAGAGATGAGGAATTAAGAGTGGAGGGTGGCAGGAGAAGGTGGAGCAACGCACGGTGAGAGTAAGTAACGGAGAGAGGGAGGGAGGGAGGGAGCGAGGAGGGGGGAAAGCAGGGAGGAGAGCGGGCGACAAGAGTCGGCAGCAGCAGGGGGAAGGTAAAGGCGGAGGCGGAGGCGGAGGAGGAGGCGGAGGCGGCTCACTGTTGCTGCGGCCACCACCATTCTTGGAACTCGTTCCAGGAGATGAAGGAGGGCGAGATGGCGCCGGACGACAGCGACGCCGTGGACACCACGAGGAACCACTTCCCCGCCAGCCCCTGCGCGATCGTCGTGATGAACCCGCGCGTCGCGCCCTTGTCCCCCATGGCGACGACGCTGCGACTACGCTGCGACGACGCGGCGACGCTGCGACCCTGCGGTCTTGGCCTTGTAAAACCGAGCGCGCGTTTTGAGGCGAAGGAAACGCCGGGGGTTCTACTCTGGTGACCTCATGCTCTGGTGCTGGCTGGCCTTCACAAGGGGAAAAGATAGCCTGTGCCAGATAGAAACCCCCTCACTCTCGTCTTGATCGGTCGGAATCCCTGTTTTCACGCGGCGCCGAGACCCGAACTCCTAGAGAAACTCTAGCCCGCAGTGTCCCCTGTTCGAAACCCTTGTGGCAATCTAGTTCCTGCAGCTACGTCTGCTGCTACGGCTGCAGCTACGGCCGCTGCTACGGCTGCAGCTACGGCTGCTGCTACGGCTGAAGCTACGGCTGCTGCCACGGCTGACGCTACGGCTGCTGCTACGGCTGCTGTCACGGTCGCTGCTGCTCCTGCTGGACGGCGCTTCGGATCGAATTCTAGCCCAACCGAGCGGTATGGTGCCAAGCCGAGGCGCGGCTTCTCATTTGGTAGCCAAGTGTGGGTGACGAAGCGGAAAACGCGTAGGGGGAGGCCCTGTTTTTTGTGTGACAGTGAGTGAAAGCTGAAGGCTTGAAAGGGAGGCCTTCTTGAAGCTTAAAGCGGAGTTCAGTGCGATGCTTCTTGAAGCGTTGACTGTCGTGCAAGGCTTGCAAGGAAGAGCGCGGGAGGGAGGCGGAATTCGTGGTTGTACAGGGAGGTTCAAGAACGAAGTCTCTGCTGGCCGTGTTCTTCCATGTTTGCTCTTGATTTCCCTTAATCTCCCTTCGCTAAGCCCTAGTGGAGACCTGCTCTTCGCGACGTCGCGACGTTGCTTTCGCGATTAGGCTTCTGCAGTTGGCAATTAGCTAGGAAATGTAGGATTCGTGCGAGCGCACAGGCTAGACTTGGCTAATCTGTCTGGTAGGCTGTCCCCTCTCGGCCTGTCAAATCTGGTTTGGTTTGGGTGGGAGACCAAGCAGGAAGGTAGGTTCGAGCATGGATATTGCCGCAGCAGGATTTAGCAGCGGGCTTGTGCCGATGAATTTTCCGAAGGCGATTCCTTCTGTTTGTGTGTTGCTCCCTAAACTTCTGGTTAAAATAGTCTATTCCCTCCTGATGTTCCTACCCTCTGGTTTTCCTCCGGCTGTGATCCCCTGCCCCCCACCCGATCAGTTTCCCACCCTACTTCTCTCCCCCACCAGTAGCTGGAACTGTTCTGATTCTTACACCCAATTTATGATGCGGCTCCCACCACTACTTGTACAGCAGCTGTCCCCACCAAGGGGAAGCGTGAATGGATGTGGGTACTCTCGTTCAGTAGCCATAATATTTTGTGAGGGGAAACACGACCCTCAAACGCACCAACGGTTCAAATGGACACCGACTGCTTTTGGCGGGATCTACGGGTTGCCTCTTTGAGAGAACACTTCACCCAAAACACCTGCACAACTTCATCAGCAACATTACTTCGCGAGATGACAGTGATGGGATAACTTATTCGTCAACAAAACGCTTCTCGCAATCATATCACAGTTACTCCTTCGGGCACACTTTTCTTTCGCACCCGCCGCCGCCATCGCGTCGCATCCAATCCATCTCACCCATCCCACATGTCCAGCAAGCGAAGCGAACTCCGCCATTTCTCTTCCTCGCCATTTTCTATCCTTCCTACAGCACAGCAATTCCGAATCCCAATCCCTTATCTCTCCTCACTTGTGTCCAGCTTGCTTCCACCTACTTTTGTGCCCGACTCGCCTGCACAGAACGCTCCTCTTCCTTGTGGGTTTCAGGCGAGCGATTTTTCGGAGCGACAGCACAACCATCTAGTGAAACCCACAAGCTCAGTGCAAGGCCCATCAAGTTTGCTCGAACTACCGCGTAGCGTCGCATTTCGCGCATCGCCAGTGGTAGCAGCACCAGTCGTCTCTAGTAGAGACGCCCGACTCTCAAGCCGGAACGTGACCACTACCACCGCGGTGTCCCTGCATTCCACACTCGCCCGCCCATCCTCCATGGCGCGCCGAGCATCCGTCCACGTCACCACACTCGCCCTTCCTCCACTCCGGCACTCCCCTTTCTCCACCCCCCCCTCCTCCCCCTCCTCCTCCTCCTCCTCCTCGTCTTCTCATCCCCACCCCTCGCGGGCAGCCTCCCCTGCTTCTTCCGCCGCCCGTTCTGCTCCCACGCGCGCCGGAGCCCCGCGACTCCGTCAGGCCCGCCGCCTAAGATAGCCGGGTGCGAGGTGTTTCCCCGAAGCAACGTGTGGAACATGCGCGTCGACTCGCTGCCCGTGCACGCCATGTCCAAGGCCTACGTCGCGTCCATTGGGCTCGACTCCCACGTGCACGCGGACTTCGGGTCAGGTACGATTCCTCTTCGCAGGGAGGTGAAGGAGAAAGAAAAGGAGAACATGTAATCTGGTAGTTTTCCGGGATGCGTCATCGCGCGTCCTCCCTCATCGTCTACGCTTTTCGCCCCCTTCTCCCCTTGTCTCTCTGCCGCTCACCTGCCGTGGGGGTACATTAGCACTCGAGCCCTCTCGTCCTCCCTCTTCCGTCTGCCTCTCCTCTCCCTCCTACCAACAATGCAGCAGACCTGGCAACGTACCTCCTCTCCCATACCTCCTCTTCTCTGCTCCATACCTCCTCCCCCGCAGCATCAACCCGCACTGAGGAGAAGAATCCAGCCAGACCATGAGACAATGCACCACCGATGGCAATGGTGGCATACCGTACACCTTCCTTCCGTCTCCTCCAACCCCCCCCTCCACCCCCCCCACTCTTCCCGTCCCCTGCTCCTCCGCGCCCTCCTTCCCCCCCCACCCTCTCACACCCTGTGCATGCCACTGCAGGCCTGTGGGAGGGAAACCCCATCGGCATCCCACTCAACCTCGTGGACAGCACCACCCCCACCACCTCCCCGTCCTTCTACTACCCTGATGAGAGCGACCTCGGTCCGTACCCCATACCAGCTTCCCCGTTAGTGGAGGGGGGTTCGGATCACCACTGTCTGCTGCTTGACACGGAGCACTGCCTGCTGTACGAGATCTACGACTACTCCTTGCAGAACTCCCAAGGTCCGAGCTCGCGCTCCTGCTCCTGCTGTGCTGTTGCAGCTGCTGCTGTGCTCCTACTGTGCTGCTGCTCCTGCTGCTGGATTCTCACTCACGAGCTTTCCACTTCTTGTACCTTTCTTCCCCATATCCCTGGAAAAAGGCACTGCTCTTTGAAAGAAAAAGCTTGCAACGCCACCTCTCGCCCTTTCCCCCTTGCAGTGTCAGCTGGCAGTGGCGCCGTGTGGAATCTGACGTCCAACAAGCTCAGGCCCGCTGGATGGACGTCTGCTGATGCTGCTGGCCTGCCGGTGAGAGCGGTGGGCGGGGGGCTCCAATGTTGCACGGCTAGTTCCTAGAATGGCAGTACCTGGCAGGAACGGCGGTACCTGGCAGGAATGGCGGTACCTGGCTGGAATGGGGGTACCTGGATGGAATGGCGGTACCTGACAGGAATGGCAGTACCTGGCAGGAATGGCAGTACCTGGCTGGAATGGCAGTACCTGGCTGGAATGGCGGTACCTGGCTGGAATGGCAGTACCTGGCAGGAATGGCAGTACCTGGCTGGAATGGCAGTACCTGGCTGGAATGGCGGTACCTGGCTGGAATGGCAGTACCTGGCTGGAATGGCGGTACCTGGCTGGAATGGCAGTACCTGGCTGGAATGGCAGTACCTGGCTGGAATGGCGGTACCTGGCTGGAATGGCAGTACCTGGCAGGAATGGCAGTACCTGGCTGGAATGGCAGTACCTGGCTGGAATGGCGGTACCTGGCTGGAATGGCAGTACCTGGCTGGAATGGCGGTACCTGGCTGGAATGGCAGTACCTGGCTGGAATGGCAGTACCTGGATGGAATGGCAGTACCTGTACTGTCCACATGTACTCTTACTATCCCCTTCCTTACTCTTCTCCTGTCGTCCATCCGGTCTGTCGAATCCATCAGGCATCTTCTTTCTTCCCTTCAATGCTTTCTCAAGCCCCACATTCTTCGAGCGCCTCTCCCTCACAAGGAGGTGGAGGCAGGCGCCATTCTTCACTTCACTGGAAAGCCGTCCTTTCAGGTTGCAATCACTTGAAGCACCTCGGTCCCACCCTTCCCCCCTTGGCTTCCTCTGCCTCAGATCCTTCCAGGGCTGGCGCGCTACGAGGAGGTGGAGGCGGGCGCCATCCGCCATGCGCTGCGGTTCACAGCGGCCAGCACTCAGCGCAAGTACGTGTGGCCGGCTCGGCACTACGCCAGCAGCAACACTGACCCCAAGCAGCCGCCCATGGGCATCCGAGTGCGGCTTAAGAAGGTGAGCTTCCTGTGGGTGGGGGTGGCTTCAGCAGGGGAGCAATGGAAGGCTTATGGAAGTTAGAGGAGAGCCATGGAGGAGTTGGCAGGACTGCTCTGCAGTGCCTGTGGGATGGTGCATGGAACGTATTCCGGTGCTTATGTGAGGGGGGACTGCTGCTCCTCCATCACAGCTCAATCCTGCTCATCCCACTGTGTCTCTCTTCTGCCTTCCCTTGTGCTGTGTGGCCACCTGGCAGTCCTTCAACATCACCAAGTTCCCTCCTCAAGCCCGCATAGTCCTGAGAGCGCTGCAGACTTATGGCATGATGCTGGCAGACAACGGCTCGCCGTGGTACATAACTGGTGCTCCCAACGAAGGCTGGGATAATGACGACCTGCATTCGCTCCATGGCATCCTGGGGAAACACTTCGAGGTTGTGGATATGTCCGAAGCTGCCAGGCGTGCCGCCGCTATGAAGGTGTTGAGAGAACCATAACGTGCTGCTGCTCTTTCTTCTCAATAGGTTGTACATATTTGTTGCAAGGACATAAATCATGTACATGCGTTTCTCATATAGACTCATATTATTTTATGCAATCCGATTTTTTTAGATGAGTGAAGTTCACTATGCAGACGATGTTGAAGAATACCGAGGCACAGGGGATATATCATGCAGCACCATTACCTAAAACTCAGCCACACTTCCATATTGGTTGGTTCAGCATAGACCATCGAAGTAGAACAGCATAGCAGAAGACCGAATAACGAAGTGAGGGTCCCCCTGACCTTCGCCGAGGGAGTGGCTTGCATTGCGTGGGCAAGAAGCGAGATGGCCGAAGCAACAAAGGTTAGGCTCGGCATAAGCCCGGGCATTTCGTCGTCACATCCCTTCAAGCTTCGACGCAATTCGAACACGAACACGTGCTCATGCCTCAACCACACACTGACCTTCTGGCTCGGCAGATATTATTTTGCTGTGAGGCCCGCTTCTTGAAACGTCAAAAAAGCAGTGGGGTTAATGACGATTCTCGAAGTTAATGGGGCGAACGGTAACTTCGCGCACGAGATATTGTGGCTCTGGTGGGCAGATGATGTGGTGCTGTCTTGGGCAAATGGTTTTCATTGGCCTGCCCACGCCATGCAATTATTCCTGTGTACATGGGCTCACAGGCCCCTACCTCCTTTCCCGAGGCAGCGTGTGGCTCGGTCATAATCCGAACCTTTTCCTAACCCGTCCATTCACTGCCTCTCGTGTGTCTCTTCAACCCCTTCCCTTCATCTCCAGACCGTTGCACACGGGCGTGGTAACCAGCTTCGCAAGCCAGTTTCGCGCAGCCTAAGCTCGAGGTTCTGTTTTTTCCTGTTTCCTCCTCCACACCTGATGAGTCAAGCCTCCCTCCAGCATCTGTGGTTGGGGCTGGATGTTAGAAAAACATGGTGCTTGTTGTTACTCGCACCGTGCTGTACCCAGCCATACCGTAGCGCTAACCCCCAACACGAACTCTAGAGGAGAACCTCCTCCTGCAGCTTCCAGAGTGCTACGTGTTGTGCATCACACGCCTAGCTTTCTCGCACGACCCTTAGGAGGCACATATGCCTCCTGTTACAGTATCCGTCTCCCTCGTTGGTCTGCTTGCTCGACCCTTATCTGGGATTTGCCAAGCTTGTGGCTGCGCAGACTCTATCGAACGGGCGGCCATTTAGTATGGCTTTGCGAGGGGACGGAATAATAGCTGCTACTTACCCTCAGAACAGTTTCTCACACAGACAACCATTACCCTCGGACTAGGCTGGGGATTTCACTGGCCTAGCAGTAAAAATAGTCGTCGCAGAATCCCCGTACAACCACTGTACAGTCAGCCTGTCTCCATACTTGGCGGCCCGCCATTGCATTCGATTGCGAGAGTTCGTCCCTGAAGCTGGTTTCCCACTTGCTCCCATAAACAGCTCCTTCAAGCAGCACCAGGCGGTGCCTTGTCTTCAGGCGTTCGCGTTGCTTTTTATATGGAATAAAAAACCTTCGTCTGGACGCATATACACATTGCGTCGTCACCTCCTTTCAGGAGTCGCCGTTTAGGGTTCTCTCCAGCATTCTCTCGTTAGGCTCACGTCCGTGTGCCTTCCCAGCTCTGCGCTAGAGCCAGAATCTGCGAGCGTTTTACTTGCTTGTCTTAGGTAAACCACCGAGACCAAAGTGGTCGCGGAATTAACGGGAGCTACAGGTTACCGGATTTTACTGTTGAACGTCCCTAGGAATCTCTAAGTCTGACAGACTGGACGACTTAAAGCCCTCGTCGCGCGCTGCAGTCTCCTCATCTGCAACTGCAGCAGCAGCAGCTATGCCCATGTCTCCGGGGGGTCCTCTTGCCCCCGCCGCCATAGTTCGGCTCCGAGGCGCCGCAGCGACGTTCCAGAAGCTTCCTCTCGGCTTCCTTCCCCCCGGTGGGCCAGGCGCCGCCGTTGTCTCTGCGGCGACCCGCCTCATCGCGCGCTTCGGCAAGCGAGACGCGCCTAAGAAGGCCCGGAAAACCCGGAAAGCGACCAGGAAGGCGCGCGCGTCCGGAGAGGGGGAGGCGGAAGAGGATGCCGAGGAGGAGGCGGAAGAGGCAGAGGAAGAGACGGCCCGTTTCGGTGGTGTTAGCCGTCAGCTCGCCCTTGTGAAAGGTCGAGGGTCCACTATTTCGTTGAGAACCCCCTCTTCTGGAGCAGCAGCAGCAGCGGGTTTAGGGGCGGGAGCGGGAGCGGGAGCAGGAGCAGGATCGGCTATTTCGTCCCTTTTCGTGAATCTCCATCCGCGTTTGCTTCTGGCATGTCGATCCAAGCTGCTGGACATAGGAACGCGCCTCTTCGCGCCCTCCTCCTCGCCCTCGACTCCGCTGTCTATAATCACCCTCCGTTCCGCGCTCCCTACGCCGGCGGGGCCCTCCGGCCCGCGCCCCTTCCGCGGGGCTGCGGGGCTGCGCCCGCACGGGCCTGGCGGAAGCACCCACGCGCATGGCGGAAGCGGAGGCGGTTTTCACCAGCATCCCCGCGGACCCTCCTCCGCTCGGTCCGGCACTCCGCGAGCCTCCGGATCAGGAGGTTTGGAAGCTGGTTTGGACGATGAGAGGTTGGGCAGACCGGGAGGTAGCAGTATTGTGAGGATGGGGGGAGCCATGGCGCATTCTCATGCGCACGGTCCTGCGCAATCCTTCCATCATCACCGTCACCAGAACCACCACCAGCAGCAGCACCAGCAGCAGTACCACCATCACCACCAGCACCATGCTTCTGCGCGCTTGTCGGGGGCTCGCGCTGCCGCGCTAGTCGTTCCGCCGCCCGCAGGCGGGCTTGCTTCCGCCGGTTCCGCGTCCGGCGCAGCAGCGTCCGCGGCTGCTGCGGCCGCCGCCGCTTCCGCCGGGTTCGGTTCTTCCGGAGGCTCCGCGCACGGTCCGTTCCACGGGGGAAGCCGCGCGGGCGGCGGGTTTGGGGGAGCTGGCAGGGTGGGGGATATCGGGGGACGCGCGGGTGCCGCGGGGAGGATTTCCGGCGCGGGTGCAGGTGCAGCTAGTGCAGGCGGTAACTGGTCTAGAGCCGGGGGGGATGGGTTGAGGCGAGGGAAGGGAGGAAGAGGAGGAGGAGGAGGGGGAGGAATGGCAGCAGCGGCAGCATCAGCAGCGGCAGCGGCGTCAGCGACGGCAGGAGTGTGCACGGGGAAAGCAGCAGGGGGAATCCGTGGCGGTACGGCTCTGGCTGCTAGTGCGACCAACGCGGCCGCAGCAGCGGCTGCTGCGGAGGCAGCTGCAGCAGCGGTGGCGGCGTCTGCGAGGAGCTTCGCGGACGAGAGCGTGCCGCTAGCCATTGGCGGTACGTGCACGCGCTCTGGGACCCAGTTTGGCTCGGTTGGGCTCGGTTTGGCTCGTCGCTGGTTTCCAACTTTCTGAGCCTGTCTAGTTCTTATCTGACATCCGTCCAGCCTGCCATCTTCAACACGCCCCGCCTTATCCTGGCTTATCCCCTTGTTACAACTCTCCTGTTCCGTGCTCCCCCTCCCCCCCCCTCTCCCCTCCCCTCCACCTCCCCCCCGCGCCCCACATGAAACCTATTTCCTGCCTCCCCGTGTTCCGCAGCTCTTGGCGGGGACTTTAGCAGGCGGCGGCCAGCGCGCACGGTGTCCAAGTTCCACCACGGGCGAGTGGGCGCGCACTCCGGCAACCACAGCGCTGCTGCTGAAGCCGTTGTGCAAGAGATACTCGCGCTGCCGGACCCCTTCTGCTACAGCACTACTGCCTCCTCCTCCTCCTCCTCCTCCTCCTCCCCCGCTTCGGCCAACCTGAGTAGCAGCAGTGGCGGCAGCAGCGGCGGCAGCAGCTGCGGCAGCAGCACGTGCAGCAGCAGCAGCAGCGGAGGGGACAGCAGCAGCGACAGCAGCAGCAATTGCAGCAGTGAGGACATGCAGGAGTGCGACGTGCTGCTCTCGCAGGTGCTGGACCGCTGGCAGCGGGAGCAGCAGGGGCAGGGGCAGGGGCAGCAGGGCGCGGGAGAGCCGACCCTGGCGAACTGGTCGTATATATTCCGGGAGCTGGGAAACCGAGGGCAGTGGCAGAAGACACTCGCGTGCTTCAACTGGCTGCTCGTGAGTGGCTTGGTTTGAACCTTGATGGCAGTCAGTGACTCTGTGTGAGAGCTGCGTTTGTGTTGCTACGTGTGATTATGCTCGCTCGTGCTCTCTCGTGCTCGCTCGTGCTCACTCATGACTCCTCTCCCCCATCCGCCAACTGTCCCCTTCCTCGCCCTTCCCCCTTCCCCAGGAGAGTCCGCGGGTGAAGCGGGGTGGGAGGGGCGGGGCGGGCGACTGGGCGAAGCTGGTAAGCACCACAATAGCGGTGCTGGGGCGCCACGGCCAGGTGGACGCCGCTCGCCGCGTGTTCGAGCGCGCGCACGCCTTTGGTGTGCCGCCCAACGTCTACGCCTTTTCCGCTCTCATCAGCGCCTATGGTGAGCTTCTTGCTTTGCTAAACGGCCTGAGCTGTTTCTCGAGAATTCTCAACTACCAACCCAACGTCTACGCCTTCTCCGCTCTCATCAGCGCCTATGGTGAGTGAGCTGCCCGCTGGGTGACCTGGCTGTCAAGGCCCCCTGTCTTGCATCGTATGGTCTGATGCCTTGCCTGGCCACCAGTGAGTGAGACTTCTGCTGCTGTTGCTGTCGTGGCTATATCCCCCCCCGTCACTCTCCCCTCCCCCCTCCCGCTCCCTCCTGTCCTCCCCCCCCCCTCCCTCCTGTCATCTCCCCTCCCCCCCCTCCTTCCCCGCGCAGGTCGCAGTGGGCGCAGCACGGACGCGCTGGCGCTGCTGCGCAGCATGGGGGATGCGGGGTGCCGGCCCAACCTGGTGACGTACAACGCCGCCATCGACGCCTGCGCCAAGGCGGGGGGGGCCGCCGGCGCGGGGGAGGTGGAGGTGGCGCGCGCATGGGCGCTGGTGCGCGAGATGAAGGAGCAAGGCATTGCGCCTGACAGGGTCCGTGTGGGCGGCATGGGTGTTTGATGGGTGGGTTTTTGAGTTGACTGAAAAACGGGGGAGGCGGAGGTGGCGCGCGCATGGGCGCTGGTGCGTGAGATGAAGGAGCAAGGCATTGCGCCCGACAGGGTGGGTGTGGGTATGCGGGGGTGTTTTTTTAGTCGACTCAATATTTACATGGGCGCTGGTGCGGGAGATGAAGGAGCAAGGCATTGTGCCCGACAGGGTGGGTGGGTGGGTGGTGGTGTGCAGGGATGGGTGTTTTGCGAGCGGGGTTTTGTGACGGGTGGTGGTACTAGAGAATCAATAGGCTATCAGAGCCTTTTTCTCAGTCTTCTTCCCGTTTTCCAATTCTGTAGCCCCCCTCCCCCCCACTCTTCCCCCTCCCCCGTGCTGTCTCTCTCGTCGTCCCTGCAAACCCCGTCCGCCCACCAGATCACGTACAACTCGCTCATGGCGGTGTGCAGCAGGGCGGGGCAGTGGCAGGAGGCGCTGAGGGTGTTCGAACTCATGGGGCAGGAGGCCAGCGCTGCTGCTGCTGCTGGCACTGCTGGTAGTGCTGATACTGCTGGTGCTACTGCTGCTGCTGCAGCGTCCCGTGGTGGGAGGAAGGACCAGCAGGGGCCGGGCGGCAGGAGGAGGGGGAAGGAGGGCGGCGGTGGCGGAGGAGGCGGCGGAGAGGAGGAGGGGGGAGTGGCGTTGGTGCGTGACATATTCACGTTCAACACGCTCATAGACGCGCTGTGCAAGGCGTCGCAGATGGACGCAGCTGCCGCCGCCTTCGCCTCCATGACCCAGTCAGACGTCACGCCCAACGTGGTGTGTTCACTGCTGCAGTGCAGTGCCAAGAGTAGTGCAATGCGGTCTAGAGCAGTGCAGTGCTTCCCTCTTCCCCTCCCACACACCCTCCCCCCCTTCCCCTTCTTCGCCTTCCTGTGATTCTCTTCGTCCCTCTCTGTTGCTGTGGCATTCGGCTGTCTCCACCCTTCTTTCTCCCCCGTCCTTCATGCCTGCCTGCCTGCCTGCCTACCTGTGTGCGTGCGTGCGTGCGTGTGACATGTGAGCGTGCAGGTGACCTTCAGCACGATGATAGACGGGTACCGCAAGGTGAACGACCTGTCGAGCGCCATCAACATGTTCCACACCATGCAGCACGCCGGGGTCCGCCCTGACAGGTCCGTCCCTCCCTCCTCGCCTGGCCTTTCTCCTCTCCCCCTCCACGCTTTTGGGTATTCGCTGGTCACCATTCACTTGCACCACACGCCATGCCATGCCATACCGTACTATGCTGTGTACGCCATTCACCCCCGCACTCCGCCCCCCCAAACGCCATTCGCTATGCTGCGCTCTCTCCCAACCCCTTCTCCACTCCTCGTCTCCCCCCCCCCTCCCACACCCCTTCCAGGGTGACGTACAACACCCTCCTGGACATCTACGGCAAGGCAGGCCGCCTCCCCGAGGCCATAGCCGTAGCCCGAGAGATGGAGGCCGCGGGGTGGCGCCTGGACGTGGTGGCGCACAACGCACTGCTGGACGCGTACGGCAAGGCGGGGCGGTGCGACGAGGTGCTGCGCCTCTTCCACGCCATGAAGCGCCAGGGCCTGCAGCCCAACGTGCTCACGCTGTCCGCCGTGGTGACGGCGCTGTCGCGCGCGGGCCGGCACCAGGAGGCGGCGGCGCTGTTCCAGCAGTACCGGGACATGGGGCTGCAGGTGGGTGGGGTGTGGGGTGTCGTGCTGTTTAGCTATTTGACGCTTTTTCTTTCTCATTGGGCTCAGGAGTCTCCCCCTCATTCTCCCCTTGGGCGACTTCGGGGTGCAGGTGGGTGTGGTGCGGTGGTGCACAGCGCGATACCAGCTATTTGAGGCCCTTTTTTTATAATTGGGCTCTAGGGGCTTCCCCTCGTTCTCCCGGTGTGCTGTGCTGTGCGCCATGTGCATGCACCCCCCAAGGTGGATGTGGTGGTGTACAGTGGGATCATTGACGCGCATGTGAAGCAGGGCAAGGTGGAGGAGGCGGCTCGAATCGATGCCCCTATCACTCGGATTTTGAGGCGCCTCAAATCTAAGACTTCTATCTGCCTCTGTCCGACATGTGCATTGCCCCCCCCCAGGTGGATGTGGTGGTGTACAGTGCGATCATCGACGCGCATGGGAAGCAGGGCAAGGTGGAGGATGCGATGAGTGTGTTCCGGCAGATGCTGCACGACGGCGTGCAGCCCAACGTGGTGACGTACAACTCGCTCATCGACGCTCTCGGCCGCTCCACCCAGGTATGGGTGTGGGTATCTTGAGGTGCCTCAGAATGACAGTGCAGCCCAATGTGGTGACTTACAAGTTACAACTCGCTCGTTGATGCTTTTGGCCACTCCACGCAGGTATGCAGTAGGGTTATATGGGGCGTCTATTTTTGAGGCGCCTCAAAAATATGCAGTAGGGTTATATGGGGCGTTGGCAGCAAGATCTTGAAGTGTCTGGGATAAAAAAATGCTGCATAACTTGATTGCACACATTCGAGTGTGCATGCGTGCACACACCCTGGTCCACTCTCGCCCGTTCACACCCTCGCACCGGCACGCGTGCACACTGACGCTTGCCTACCCCATGTCCGCATGCTGTTACTTTTGAGTCGGCTCAAAGGTCACCACACTGACGCTTGCTTACCCCATGTCCGCGTGCTGTGCTTCTTCAACCAGGTGACAACATCAGGAAAGAGAAGTGAGGCCCGGCGCAAGCGTGGCGAGCGCGGGGAGGTAGGGGAGGAGGTGGGCTTGGCGGGGGCGGAGGAGGAGGGGGAGGAGGAGCGGAGGGAGGTGCGGTTGGAGGCTGCCCTGCGCATGTTCCGAGAGATGAAGGCAGCGGGCGTGCGGCCCAACGTCGTCACCTTCTCTGCCATGCTCTCCACCTGCAGGTGCATGCGTGCGATTGTGCGTGCGTGCGTGAGTGCGTGCGTGGGTTGGTGGGTGGGTGGGTGGGTGGGGTGGGTGCTTGGGTGGGTGTGGGTGTGCCGGTGTATGTGTGTATGATATTTCTCTCCCTATGCTCCATCCATCCTGCTGTATTGTGCAATCTTGCCTTCCTACCTCCTTCCCACTCCCTCCCTTACTTCCTTCCCACACCTCCCCCCACTGGGAGAAATATCTTGTTGTCTCTCCGCCAATCCCTTGTCCCTGCTCTCTCTTCTCCTCCCCCCCTCACCCCCTCACCCCCTCACTGCCTCAACTTCGCCTCATCCCCCCCTCTCTCTCTCGCCCCGCTCACTCCCCTCGTGTACGACTGTCTTGCTGTACCCCTCTCCAACTGTCTCCCTCCCTCACCGCTCTCGCAGCCGTCTCTCCAACTGGCGCGACGCTGCCCTTCTCCTTCGCGAAATGGGCTCCACGTTTGAAGCCCCCTCCGTCCCTGCCACTACTGCTGCTGTTGCTGCTGCTGCTACTCCTGCCACTGCCACCCTTACCACTGCTGCTGCCACGAGCAGCAGTGACACGAGTGCAGGGGTGTATGTGCTCGCAGAGTCCATGCTGCATGGGTGTGTGCACGCAGATGGGGACAGCGAGGACGAGCGAGAGGAGGAGAGAGTGCAGCCGATGGACGAGGCAGGTGATAGCAAGACTCAGAGCAGCAGCAGCAGCGGGAGTAGCAGCGGGGGTAGCAAGGGGAGTAGCATGAGGAGCGGTGATGGTGAGCTGGTGCAACGAGTGAGGGTGCTGTCGCGTGGCGAGGTGGGTCAGCTGTTCGCAGCGGTGGCAGCGCTGGACTCCTCCACCTCCATCGCATTCTTCAACGCTCTCAACGACCTGCTCTGGCGATTCAACCAGGTACCGCGTGGACTTAGGGTGGGAGAGGTTGAGAATCCATGTTTGAGGCGCCTCAAGAATAGACTCCTCCACCTCCATTGCATTCTTCAACGCGCTTAACGACCTGCTCTGGCGATTCAACCAGGTACCGTGTTGTTGAATAGGGTGGGAGAGTTTGGAAATCCTTTTTCGAGGCGCCTGAAATTAGACTCCTCCACCTCCACCTCCACCTCCACCTCCATTGCATTCCTCATTGCATTCCTCATTGCATTCCTCATTACGTTCATTGCGATTCAACGAGGTAACAGGAGCAGTGGGAGCAAAAGCTGTGCTTTTTATTTGTGAATGTTGAATTTGACTCCACACAAGTAGCGGACCCATTGCCTTAACACTGACCTTCCTGTGCTTCCTTGACATCCCTCGTCATCACTGTCGAAACAGAGGGCGCAGGCAGTGCGGGTGACACGGGGGGCGCGGCGCTTGGGGGTGTACGAGGGGGCGGTGTGGGGTAAGGTTGAGGCGCAGGAGTGGGTGCTGGACCTGCACCTCATGTCCGTGGGAGCCGCCATGGCCATGCTGCACCTCTGGCTGCTGGACCTGCAGCGCCTCGTGCTCCAATTCAACCACGTTGGGAGCACTGGGAGCACCGGGAGCACCGGGAGCAGCAGTAACCCCCTACCACGCCTTCTCAAGTGAGTACACAGGAGTGAGCCTACAAGCTGGGCTGGTTCAAGGATGGCAGCACTAGTAGCTTGCCATGGCCATGCTGCACCTCTGGCTGCTGGACCTTCATTTATTCTCTTCATTCATCGTAACAGCCCCTTTGAATTATCCTTCGCGTTTCCTTCGACACTTTGCAACAGAACCCCTTTTCTTTCTGCTTTGCTTCTTCTGTCTCCCTTGAATCCGCCCCCCTGCCTCACCCCACCCATTTCTCCTCTCTCGCCCCTCTTTCCCCCCAAACCACCCCCCCCCCCCCCGTTCCCCCCCCCTTCCCCCTCCCCTCCCCCCCACTCTTCCCCCAGTGTGTTGACGGGTGGGGCGTCACAGCAAGGTGGTGGGCACGAGTGTGATCAAGACGCAGGTGGAGTGGAGGCGTGCCTCGTCCCTAACGTCTAATTCCCTGCCCTCTCACTGTCTCTTTCCTGTCCTCCCCCCCCCCCTGCCCCTTATGCTTTCCCCCAGTGTGCTAACTGGGTGGGGGCGCCACAGCAAGGTGGTGGGCACGAGTGTGATCAAGACACAGGTGGAGGCGTGTCTCCTCGCCCTCGCCTCCCCCTTCCGCTCCTCTGCGTCCAACGGCGGCCGCCTCAGCGCCTCCGGCCCGGCTGTGTCGCGCTGGCTGCTAGCGCTGGCAGAGAGAGGCACCAGCAACCCGCTGCTGTTGCAGGATGAGCGAGGGCTACGAGGGGCCTGGGCGTGAGGGGGTGCAGTGCAGCCACGGCTTGGTGTTACCTGTCCAGTCCAGCTTGCGGCCAATGTTTACCTTTCCCCTGAGGGACGGGGGTGTTTTTTGTGTGTAGTGGCTGTGAGGCTGTGAGCTGAGCAATGGGCTGCAGGCTTGAGTTGCTTTGCTATGAGCTCCAGCTTTGCAACCGCAGCAGCAGCAGTAGCAGCAGCCGGAGCAGTAGCAGCAGCTTTCCCCATTGTTGCAGCTTCCACTACTGCAGCTGCTGCTGCGAGCTGCCCCAATTTTCGTGTCCCGCCCTCTTGCCTCATCTATTCTTGCAACTTCAAGCTGGGCGCCCAACACATACTATTTGGGCTTCAGCTTTCCCCCCTTTCTTTTTGTGCATGTTTTTTCGTTTTCCTGTTTATAAATGGAGCACTTATCATATCACCATACAAGCCACTTGGTACATATTTGGAGACATTTGACTAGGCAGTACACTCAGAGGAGTGCTTGTTTTCCGGTTAGGTCGTAACATCGCTTGCTGCGAAGCATGACTAGTTGGAGGGCAGCTCAGAGGCAAACATGGTGGTCGCAATTTCACAGCCCACCCGCACATGGGGCCACATACAGTACCACTGTTTGATGAGAAGTCTATCAAGCACCTGAAGAGCCACCTCAACCAATACAGTGCGCTACGAGGCGGCTGGGTTGCGTGAGGAGAAGCGTGCCTTGACGGAGGGGAGCTCAGAGGCGAACATGGCATTGACGGCCCACCCGCACATGGGCCCGAACACCTGCTCGAATGCTTGGGTGAGCTGCACGCGCACTCGGGCGGTCAGGGTCTTGCCCTTGATGCTGCTGGCGTAGTGTCTCTGAGCGAGCTGGCACGGGGAGAGGGGAGGGAGGTGTGGTGAGAGGGCAGTGCGGGTGGTGAGATGTGTGAGCGGGCACTGGCACCACAAGTCGGAATACCACCGCTCCCTCATGTGCAGCCCACCGTGCTGGTGGCCGCCCCACCTGCCAGCCCACACCATGATCTCACCACACAGTCTTCCACTCCACCACACAGCCATGCGCCGCTCCACATACCCATGCACCGCACCACACAGCCATGCACCGCTCCACATACCCATGGACCGCACCACACAGCCATGCACCGCACCACACAGCCATGCACCGCACCTTTTGTCCACAATCCCAATCTACCACCCATCTCCCCACCTGCCACTTACCCCTGCACATGCCACCCTCAAACCCCACCTGCCACACGTGTGTGTCGACGGGCACGGCAGCGTGCTGGTCCAGCGACAGCAGCGCCACGCACGCCGCCACCTTGGGCCCCACGCCTGGCAGCTCGCACAGCTGCCGCTCCGCCTCCTGCCAGCCCTGCTGCCGCATCGCCTGCAGCCAGTCACTGCCAGTGATGCCGCTGGTGGCTTGCACTGAGTGTGGTGGGGGGAGGGGAGGAGTGGAAGCGTAACGGGGATGAGCAGACCGCTCTACTGCCTGGCAGCTCGCACAGCTGCCGCCCCACCTCCTGCCAGCCCTGCTGCCGCATATCCTGCAGCCAGCTGTCACCGGTAACGCCGCCTGTGGCCTGCACTGAGTGTGGGGGGGGAGGGGGGTATGACGGGAGTGGCGAATAGGGGGGGTAAGGTAAGCAGTGGCAGTGCAACGGGGATGAGCGAGCCACTCCAACTCCTGCCACCGCTGCTGCCGCATGGCCTGTATCCTCTCGCGGCCACTAATGCCGTTTGTGCTGAGCACTGTTTGTGGTGGGGTAAATAGGAGAATAAGGGGAGTTGATCCCATACAGGAAGAAGAGGGGGGGGGGGGGCGGGTGGGGATATACTGACAGGTAAAGAGATGGGTGGAGATAACAAACAACAGGGAGGGAGAAATCCAAAAGAATAAGCACATATCCTTTCTGAAGGGCACTGAAACAGAAAGACCAAACAGCGTACTCTGGCGAAGCTGAGATGCAGTCTGTCTGCACGATGATGGCCACGTGGTACCCGGACCAATCAGCTCTCAAGTAGTACTTACCTTCCTCGCCTTCCTAAAGCTCCTCCCCCTCCTCACTTTGGTGAAGCTGAGATGCAGTCTGCACGATGAAGGCAGCCCGGTAGCCGAACCCATTGGCCCTCAAATATTCCTCCGTTAGTCCGGTGAGGCGCAAAAGCGAGGGGAAGGCGTGAAAGGGCTGGCCGTTAATGTGGGCTACAAGGGGTCCCTGCTGGGATAGCACCTCCACCATGGCTGCAGGGAAGAGAGAAGGGGAGAGGGTGGGTACAAGAGGAAGGGATGGTTGTCTGTTCTGTGTAGCCCACGAGGGGGGCCTGCTGGGACAGCATATCCACCATGGCTGCAGGGAGGAGAGAAGGGGAGAGGGTGGGGAGAAGAGGTAGAGGGTCGGGTTTGCTTCTGGAGGAGCCTTAACAAGGGATAGATCATAGTTGGCTGTGTGGGCTATGAGGGGGCCATGCTGCTGGGAATCTGGGATAGCACCGTCACCATGGCAGTAGGTGAGCAAGAAGGAGAGGGTAGGGGAGTAATGTAGAGGATGGGAGGCGGAGAAGCAAAAAAGAAAGGGAGGGTTGGCAGGTGCAGAACATGTGGGTGATGACGAGCAAGGGGACACGGGCAGGGGGGGCGGTGGAGCGAAGGGAGAGAGGCAGGATTTGATGGAGGGAGGGAAGGGAGGAGGGCGAGAGAGGGATTTGGGGATACCGACATGATATTCTGGAGATGTGGTTGTTGGAGGAACAGATGAACTGAAAGAGACACTCCACTGGATCCTGCATGCATCGTAGCAGCCAGGCGTGGAGAGAGTAGAGGGCAGGGATGGCTACTAGACACAGTCGAGGCCAAGCAGGAACGATCCATTCAGGGAAGAGGGCGAGAGGGCGAGAGGGCGAGAGGGCGAGAGGGCGAGAGGGCGAGAGCAATGACCTGTCGGAGGATTCGGTAGCCCGTGATCATGGGGAGGAGGGATGCAAAGTGCGCGTCACACTCTGCAAACTCGCGGTACCTGCAGTGGCATCGGCAATCATAAGGGATGCTCGCATACCCATTGATATACAGCAAGGCATTCCAAAGCTTAAAAGAGTTTGCGCAGCACCCAAACTCTCAAAGCACTTCTTTCATTCCAAGGCTTAATAAAGCTCGCACAATCGCAAAGCTCCTCAAACTCTACACGTTCCACAGCACCCACCCACACGTGTGATGCGACGCACACCCATGACCTCGGATCGACAAGAGGGAGCAACAGCAAAGACACGCAACAACTGCAACAGCAGCAGCAGCAGCAGCAGAAGGCGTTGCGTTGGGGCAAGACGGTAATGAGAAGAGAACGAAGGAGCGACAGAGCTTATCCAGAACTGCCTCTGTTGATTCTTTGCATTGTTAAAACGAACAGCACCCCCCATGTTGCTTGCAGGGTCATGAGGAAACAGCCAGCAGTTGCCGGCCAGAGAGGCAGACTCACAGGTCGAGTGTGTTCACGTGGAGGTTCAACAGATCTTCCACGGCAGCCATCACTGCTGCCTCTGCTGCTCCAGAACCCCCCTCCCCACTTGCATGAGCAGCAGCAGTAGCAGTAGCAGCAGCAGCAGCAGCAGCAGCAGGGGCAGCAGCAGCATCGGTGCCATTGTCAGGCATTGTTCTCAGAACGGCTGTTTCCCGCTCTTCCTCTGCTCGCCCCTCTGCCTGGCACTCGCCTTGTTCCTGCTCCCTCACCCGCCCTTGTGCCGTGGACAACGCACCGGCAGCATCCATCACCGCCGCATCACCACGACACCCGTCCCCTTCACCCTCATCCTCTCGCTCCTCTTTCGCCGTCATGGCAGGAGGATGGACGCACACCGAGACAGGGCCCAGGGGCACTGACTAAAGGGGGGGGGGAGAGAGAAGCATGGTAAGGAACAAGGCAGGGGAACGGACAAGAGATGCAGAGAGGGAGGAGGACGTGGTTGGAAGTTGGAAGTTGAAGGAAAGGAAAGGGGGATTGATGGTTCAATGGGTGAGCGAGGAGCCGTTCTCTGCCTGCATGTGTGAACCAAACACAGTTTGAAAACCATGTTCAAAGCAGCCACTGCGGAGGGAAGATGTCAGGAATCCGCCTGGGCCGTGGGCCGTGGGCCGTGGCCTAGCAACAGCAGCACACGGAGCACGTAATGCTCCATCCACGACCTATGGATGTACCTGCCGCAGGGTGACCAGGCGATTGGCCACGACACCTGAAAACTCCCCTGGGCCTGTTTCCACCCACCTGCAAAAAGCCATGGTGTGGGACGCAGATGAATGGGTGGCGTCATGCGAAGCAAGAGAGGCAAGGGCTTGAGCCACCATGAGTCATCATGAATGGGTGGCGGCATAGTGTGTGTATGTCCCAAGAGAGCCAGCAACGTGGAAGGAAAGCGCAATTCCCCGGTCAAGCAACTCTCTTCACGCTCTCTCCACCAACCAGCCTCCCTGCATCTCTATCGGCCCCCAGCCCTCCTCCCACCCACCCCTTCCCCCCCCCACCCTGCCTTCCTTCCCCCGCCCTCCCCACTTTCCCCCCTATGCGCCCATCACGCGCACCTGAACGTCTGTCCGGTGGCGAAGGTGAGGTGCAGGTCCAGCTCGCCCTGCTCCACTCCCTCCCCCACCCTCCCCTCTCCCCCTAACCCCTATGCGCCCATCACGCGCACCTGAACGTCTGTCCGGTGGCGAAGGTGAGGTGCAGGTCTAGCTCGCCCTCCCCCACTCCCAGCTGCCGCCACCGCCACTTGCGACGATCCGATTCCGTTTCTGCACAACCCCCAGCAGCAGCAGCGGCAGCAGCAGGTGCAGCAGCAGCAGCAGGTACAGCAGCAGGAGCAGGTGCAGCAGCAGCAGCAGTTGCAGCAGCAGCAGCAGGTGCAGCAGCAGCAGCAGGTGCAGCAGCAGCAGCAGGTGCAGCAGCAGCAGCAGGTACAGCAGCAGCAGCAGGTGCATGTACTAGTTCTTCTGACGCAGGTGGCGCTGCACTTTGCTTCCCTTTACCTCTTCCACCGTCGCCTGGCACCCCTCCATCCCCGTCCACACCTCCCCCTCCTCGCCGCTTCTTCACCTGCCTGTAGTGCCGGGTCAGATCCCCCTCACCTCCACTGCTCTCATTACCTCCACTGCCTCTGCTTCTGCCTCTTCCTCTTCCCCTGGTTCTCTGAACATTGCTACTGTTCATAGCCACGTCAGCACCGGCAATGCCGTCCGTGGAAGCATCGGCAAGGCTCAAGGTTGCGTTATCACCAGCATGAGGAAAGGCCGAAGCAGGAGCAGTGACAGCAGCAGCAGCAGCAGCGGCAGCAGCAGGTGGAAGTGGAGGAGAAACATAAAGAGAAATGTCAATCTGGCGCTGATCCGCATCTCCTCCCTCCTCTCCTTTGACTGAATTACTAGATTCTCCTGATAAAACCAACAATCGGCTCCCCTGTTCATCCAACGCCTCCCTCTTCGCACCCTTCACCTTCACCTCCGCCCCCAATATCTCCTCATTCCCCGTGCTCCCCACATTCCCACCGTTTTCCCCCGTCGCCCCATTCCGCCCTCCCCGCTTTCCTCTGTGGCGCACGGATTGCCATACGGGCAGGGGGAAGGGGGGCATGTAGTGGGGGGAATGAGGCGGAAAGGCGGACACGCAGGCCGGGGGAGGAGGAGGGAAGGGGAAGACAAAGCAGGATGAGGGGAATGGCGCAGGATGGGCGCTAGGACGGACCAAGGGCGGCACGCGGAGGCTCCAGGAGACGATAGGGCGTGACGGGACGAACGATGAAGGGAAAGCTCGGGACAGAGTAGAGTCGGGAGTGAGGGAGCTCCCGAAGGAGGGGGTTGGGGGAATGTTGAGACCACGGTACGGTGGAGCCGTTCGGAAAGCGGCGCTGGAAGCCGGCCGCGAGGCAGAATGGCCGCTCGCGAGAGCAGTTCGTGACGGCGCGACACGCGTGTTCGCCAACGTGGTAACCAGCAGCGAGCGTCGTGATCGGAATGCGGAGAATGGTACTGGGGGGGTCGCCGTTGGAAACGAAGCACACGACGGCCGTGGCTCTGGGCCGAATGGAGAGACGAAACGAGGTAGACGGATAGAGCGAGGGCGAGTGGGCGATGGGATCACGGAGAGCGCAGCCATAAACCAAGTTTGCAAGTTCCAAGCAAATGATAGCCGCCTGAGGCTTTCGTTGCTGTGCTCTACAGATCTGACTCTTGAGCGGTGGCGCGAGTGAGCAAAACACAACATGGTTGCGCCATGAGGTTATTTCGACATGCTTTGAAGTCCCATTCGAAAGCACACTCCTTACACGATGACCCTAAACATAGCAAAATACAAGCTCAAAAGCACAACGATGCATTTTCACGGATCAATGGATGTGCTTGAATGAATGCCTTTTTTATTAATGAATTACCATATGTACACCATTTGCGTCTTATAATCCTTCCTGCTCCCTATAGTTTGTGTTATGTGCCAATAACCAGATACACCCTTTAAGTGTGTGTTATCCTCCACTCTGTTCCCTTGGCCTTCACTACAACGCTACTGAACGCCACTAACGAGATACACCCCTTACCCTCGCCACGGGAGACCCCGTCAGCGACAGCAACACTATCCGCAAGGGGATTGCGTCGGGACCACCATAGCCCTCACACTATCCCTCGAACCACCTCATCTCGCTTTAGGGAACTGTCAAAATGATGTTTGATGGGGCACTCGTTGGGCAGCACAACGCGCTTCGTGCATGCGTTGGCACGAGATGATTCGTTGATTGTTTTCTTTCTTCCTTACAAGCTTTCCAACTCAACCCAACCCAACTCAACCCAACCTAAGAGCCGTGAACAAACTCGCATCAGCATATCGACGCGGCGCGCAGCCAGCCAATCTCACCTGGCCCTCGTCGCCCTCCACCGCGTCAGCACTCTCACTCCCTGCTCCTCCCACCAGCCCGCTCCGTCCACTTCATCCAATCCCCCTCTTGCTCGTACTGTACCTTGTCCTCGATAATCTCTCCACTCCACCGACCGCACTCTCGGCGTCTCCAAGGGCAACTCTGCGCGGCCCACCTTGGATGGGCGACGGAGAGGGCCGAGCTAGTTCCTAGGGTACTCCGGGTGTCTGCTCTCAGTCCCGCAAAAGAGGACAGAATCTAGGTGGGGGGAGCGCCAAGCCAATCGGTAGGCTTGCGATCCGTGAACGGCAGAACCTCGGAAAGTGCGCTGTGCACGAATACCCCTCGGGTGTCATGCCTTAGTATTTGAGAAGGCAGCAAATTGGGCAAGAGGAGGAGCTAAGCTGCGAATCTTTCTGCCATCCTTCCCAGCGCTGCTGCTGTATACACAGCCGTCGTTTCGTTGCGTCTGCAAACACAAGGATATTTTCCTATGGGGAACGCGGATATCAGCTCCGAGACTTCCAGCAACGCTGGGAAGCCTTGCGACTACAGTCGGCCCCTTGGAAACACGGAGGAGGTACGCGTCTTGTTCGTTATCGCTACCCCGGCCTGCTCCCATGTCGTTGCGCAGAGATTCTGCAGCGTAGCCACCTCGTGTTTTCAGTCGGAAAGAGGTATCTCCGACGTCCTACTTTGCTCTCTCCTCCTCGGAAATCGTGGATTGGTGAACTGTGCAGAACTGGCTCCGTGCGGTGAATGGAGGCACGGGGAACACGGTTGTGGGTGTCCTCGTCAGTTTGGAGGTGAAGCGCGAGGCTCTGCAGAACGCGGTAAACAGCGTTCAAAAGAAGCATCCCAGGCTGCGCTCGCAGCTCGTCTTCGTCGACGGTCGCCCGCACTTCCAGGTGCGCTGCTGCTCGCTTGGCACCAAGGAACGACCTGTTCATCCCATGCTGATCAGGCTGAGAGATCTGCTTCAACGACTTATGGTCGTCCCGCCTTTTCCGGTTCTTAATACGAACATACTTAAGTACTCTGAGACGACCGTGCTGACTCTAATGCGTGCCCTGCCTTTCCTTCGTCACAGACAACTGCCAGTGGCGTTGTGGAGGTCGAAGTGATCGAGAATATCCCCGATTCTATCGCGGCGTCTTCTGACTGTAACGGGGAAGGCTCTGAGGAGTTTTTGGACGACTCCTTTGAGATCGGACGGCGGTGCTCGATGGACAATGGAGGCAAGATAGCTGCTGTTGAAGAGGAGGGGATGGAACGCAGCGAATCGGGCCGCAATGGGTACAAGATGAGTCTGTGTCAGGACCACTGGCTGAGGATCGTTGAATCCGCCATGAACGAGCCGTGGAAGTGTGACGAGTCGTCTGTGGGGGGGGAAGCTGCGAGCCTCCTGTGCTTCAGGCTGTACAGGTAAAGCTCAGCCATGGCGTTGCTTATTAAGTATTTCTTAAGCAGATCGGGCTGCTCAGACGATTGGGTTTTTGCTTATCCTTTATATGGTTTCTGGTATCTTCTCACAGGCTTCACGAGGGTCGTTCGTTGATTCTTTTCCGTGCACACACGTCTGTGTGTGACCGCAAGTCTGCTGGCATCGTTGTGGAAGATCTCCTCTCCTTCCTTGATGATGAAGTCAACGGCAATGGAAGCCGTTCTGATCTTGGCAGCACAAATGGGTGCTCCGTGAATGAGCTCGGTCTGAAGGCCACAGATCAAGCCGGGGAGAGCCAGAGCGCAGATCTGCCAGTGCAGCAGTCTCTGAAGGCTGTGGAGGATTGCATCCCTCCGGAACTTTCCAAGAAGCCATTCTGGGCTCACGGCCTTGATGTTGTTGGTAAGCCCGTGAACCTCTTTTTTGGCAAACAACACATGCCTTACTTTCCGCATATGTATGTCGTGATTTGCTTTCCGTTATTCAAGATCGCTTACTTTATTCCTGTTGTACAAACAGGCTATGGGTTGAATTCTAGGCGGTACGCATGGCTGCCATTCCATGATTCGTCATCAGAGCGACAGTCTGCTCTGATCCGCTCTGGACTCAGCAGATCTGACACTGAACGGCTTAAGCAGGTGAAACCTCAGTAGGTGCAGCACCCTTAGCAATCCGGATAGTGTCATTTTCTCGTTGATATATGATTCCATGCCTGTGCTGACTGTTTCCCGCTTACATGCCATGCAGGCATGTGAGAAGCACAACATCACTGTGTTTGCAGCAGTGGCGGGTGCAGCACTGAAAGCTGTGGCTAGTGTGAAGGAGCTGGGCCGTAAGGGGGAGCACTTTGCTGTCACCACGTTTCTGGACTGTCGTTCCCTGCTCCCCCATGAGATCACCTTGGACACTGTTGGTACGATGCTCTTCAGTTCTGTCCTAGGTGTCTGTTAAGTCGTATTTTCTCCTCTCCCTCGTGCACATGCGGTGTTTTGCCTGTGCTGGTATTTTTGCATCCATTATGTCAAAGCGCAATAATTCCGCTACATGAGAGGCGATTTCCTTTACCGTTATGGCTTCATGCCCTTCCCTTACTTCACACTGACTCGTGTGCTTAACTTGCAGGGTTCTATCATTCGGCCATGATGCATACGCATCAAGTGAGTGAGACTGCTGGATTCTGGAACCTTGCAAAGCGCTGTCACGAGTCGTCTCTGCATGCCATCAAGAACAGGAAGCACTACACTGACATGGGTGACCTCAACATGCTCATGGCTCAGGTGAGGACAGAATGAAGGACTGCACATGGTGTAGTGACGGTGTGTTGATGGGTGCGTGTGTCTGTATTTTTTAGTGTGGGTGTGTGTATAGAGGATGACAAAAGGATGCTATTTGTTGTCCAATGTCGTACATCAATTCAACCACTAACCGTGTGATGCATTTTTTTCTGCAGGCCATTTTTCATCCCCAGCTCACCCCAGCGAGCTCTCTGCGAACCTCCACTGTCTGCTCCTTCTGGGATGCGCTGCATGAGAAGATGCAGGTGAGTTAAGAGTGACAGTTTTTATTTGCATGGAAGTTGAGATTAATGCAGTTCTTGTGCTCCAAAATATACATCGCAGCAGATGTGTTCTCACTGTCAAACTTTGTCCTTGGTGTTGCATTACTTCCTTGCAGAGATTCGTGGACAGGTTGGGCGTGGAGGACTATGTTGGCTGCTCCTCTGTTCATGGCGTTGGACCGTGTTTTGCCATCTTTGATTCATTTCGTGAAGATGGGCTCCACCTCTCAAATGTCTATCCCACGCCCCTTTTTTCACACACAATGATGCGCCAAGTCGTTACAAGGATGATGGAGTTTCTGCAAGAAGCGTGCGATGGAGCTGAGTAGATGAATGTGCCTTTGCATGATATTTCTCATAGATGTTCATTGTACAGGTAGCTTGGTCTTCACATCTTGTAATGGTTAAGGAATATATTTTTTGGTGATGGAATACGATTGTTGAATACATGTTCTTATGAACGATGATAACGCACTGCATAACTGGTGATTGGTGACACCGATATCCTCTTCCGAAACGAGTTTTACCGAGTCCCAGGCAAAACCTCCCTTGAACCCTGCTCCGGGTTGCACTGCACCTCGCCAAAACCCGCCTCCCCGTCTGCTCAGATCTGAATGCTTGCCTGCATCCCGCCTACATCTCTCCTTCTCGCCATCTGCACTAACCATCTAACCTAACCCTTGCCTAGTTCCCAGTCTCAGCATTGGCTGGCTCCTCCTCCCTACATCGGATCGGTGTTTTTTCCTCTTCATAACCAGCTGGCAGGCACCTTTCCTATTAGCCCTTAACCTTTCTCCGCCTCTGCCCCGTCCCTCTGATATTTCTTTCCGTCCGTTCCTCGTTCCCCCGCGCCTCGGTGTTTCTCACCTGCCATTTCTATCCTGTTCCCATACTGTACGGTCTCTAGGGCCACGCAAAGGCGAGAGGGCGAAAAGGAGTGAGTGAGTGAGTGAGTGAGACTGAGTGAGATAGGAGTCAGAAGGCAGTGCGAGAGGAGCCATGACAGGGTCTACTGAGGCAGAGCCGCAGAAGGAGACGACTACCCCCCAGGACACTAACGTGGAAGCCACCGCCACCCCCATGGATGCAACTGCCACTGCTAACGACGCTAACCCTCCCGCTCCAGACGCTCCCGCCGCTCCCGCCGCTGCTGCTGCCGCTGCTGCCACAGGAGAGGATAAATCCGCGCCAAAGGATGCTGCCCCTGCTGCTGTAGAGGATAAGCCGGCCTCGGATGCTGCGCCTGCTGCGGCGGCGGCTGGTGCTGTTGCTGGCGCGGAGAGCAAGGAGGGAGAGGGCGGCGCGGACAAGGGGGACGGCGGCGAGGGGGAAGAGAAGAAGGGCAAGGCGTTCACCCCCGCCATTCGCGCAGAGATCCTCCGCCAGGTGCGTGCGCGCGCTCGGGCGTTCTTGCGCTATTGCGCGCATACGCGCCACGCGTCTCCATGTCCTCTCTTTAACACTACTCATTGAGGGTTATTGCGCATACATCCCCAAAACTTCACGCATTGTACATCGCCTCTTGTTCCGGTATCGTCGCCCATAGTCCGCCATGCCTTACCCCCCGAAGACTCCTGATCCCTAAAACCCTTACTGCTTTCCTGGTCTCTTTATCTCCCTGGTTATTTCCAACATTATTAAACCCTTATTTGCTGCTGTAGTTGTGCCGTTATTTATATTCGTTAACCCCGTTCGTAGATCCTGATCGTTGATCCTGATCGCTTGTGTTCGCCGACCCGGGCGATCGTCGTCGCAGGTGGAGTACTACCTGAGCGACAGCAACCTGCCGCGCGACCGGTTCATGCAGGAGAAACTCCAGGAGGGCAACGGATGTGAGTAAAGCGAGGGGTTCTGGATGCTTCTGTGCACGGGAGGAGAGGAGACGGGAGGGAGCACGTTGTGACCCGTGACCCGTGACCCGTGACCCGTGCCTGTGCCATTAGTTCTGTGCAAATTTTAGGTGCCTCATTCATATTTTTGAGGCGGCTAAAAAAAAGATACCTCTGCAGCCTTCTCGCATCGCATGCTGTGTTGGTTGGTTGGTTGTTGCGATCGCTCAACAATCCGTTGTTTCGTTTCGTTCCTCGCTTGAAGAGCCGACGATCGCAGCAGCCTCGTCCCTGCATTCCCCCTCTTTCCTTCCATTCGCGAAGCGCTGATTGACCAACCTATTGTAAAACCCCGTCACCCCCTCCTCCTCCCTCCTCCCCCCCCCCCCCCCCCCCCCTCTCTTTCCCCGATTCGCTTTCTCGCCCCTCCCCGTCTCCGCCAGTCGTGCCCCTGGCGCTGCTGTGCACGTTCTCGCGCATGCGCAAGCACCTGGGCGTGCTGCCCGACGCGCCCGTGCCCGCGCACCTGGTGCGCGCCACGTACGAAGTGCTGCAGGACTCCACCTTCCTCAAGTTCTCCGACGACGGTGCGTGGCGGGGGGGGAGGGGGGGGGAGAAGAACGCGGGTGGGGGGTGGAGAGAACGTGGTGGGGGGGACAGGGGGGGAGGGGAGGGGGGGGGAAAGGAGGGCGAGCACCTGGTGTGCGCCACGTACGAGGTGCTGCAGGAATCCACCTTCCTCAAATTCTCCGCCGACGGTGGGTGGGGGGACGAAGGTGGGTGCGCGGAGGGAGGGGAGGGGGAGATCGGGGGGGGAGAAGGGGGGGGGGGGGGGGGGGATGAGGGAAGCGGGTTGCGGAGAGGGGGGAGTGGTGTGGGGGACAGCGGGTGCAGGGATGTTTGAGGGAGGGCTATAGGACGTGTGGCGGTGGAGTGGAGGGACGTTGTACTATAACCTGCCCGGAAAATTCAGCGCATTTCAACCTCCCTCCACTCCCTCCGTCCCTCACACCCTCTCCCCACCCGCCCTCCTCCTGACTTACTCCTTCCCCTGCATCTTCTTCCCCCCACCCCAACCCCATCCGCGCATCAGGCAAGCTGGTGGGGCGCGAGGGCGAGGTGGCGATGGGCGCGGAGCGCATAAAGGAGATCAACGCGCGGTCGCTGTACGCCGCGCCGTTCCAGTGGAATTCCACTCTCGACGACATCCGCGGCTTCTTTGGCACGCTCGGGCCGGTACGTGCCGTGCCCATGTGCCCTGCCATGCCACACCTCACCACGTTTCCTCATCGCCGTTTCCTCAACACTGATCGTCGCCCGCCCTCCAGCCCCCAGCCACCCCCCTGCTCTCCTTTCACTCTCCCCCTCCTTCCCTCCATTCCCCTTGGTTCTCCTCTCCTCTCCTCTCCTCTCCTCTCCACTCCACTCCTCTCTCGCGCGCCAGGTGAAGAGTGTGTGCATGCGGCGGCACCCGGCGTCCAAGGCGTTCAAGGGGTCGGTGTACGTGGAGTTCGACTCGGAGGACGACATGCGCAAGGTCGCCGCCATGGCGGACGTCACCTTCAACGGCGCCAAGCTGCACCTGCAGGCCAAGTGAGTAGCACGGATGGAGAGAGTGGGGGGAGGGGGGGGAGTGGGGGGAGTGGATGGGAGAGTGGTGAGAAGGGTGCCCATGGAGAATGCTGCAAGCCTGCCTGGCTGACTGACTGACTGACTGACTGACTGACTGACTGACTGACTGACTTACTGACTGACTGACTGACTGGGACGACTTTTGTGTCCGCTGTCTAGCATTGCAGAAAATGTGTGCTTTCTGATAGCGCCTCTGTATCTCTTGCTCAGTTCACCTGATCTCAGCTGTTGAAACGCGCCTGTGCCCGTGCCCGTGCCCGTGCCCGTGCCCGTGCCCGTGCCCGTGCCCGTGCCCGTGCCCGTGCCCGTGCCCGTGCCCGTGCCCGTGCCCGTGCCCGTGCCCGTGCCCGTGCCCGTGCCCGTGCCCGTGCCCGTGCCCGTGCCCGTGCCCGTGCCCGTGCCCGTGCCCGTGCCCGTGCCCGTGCCCGTGCCCGTGCCCGTGCCCGTGCCCGTGCCCGTGCCCGTGCCCATGCCCGTGCCCATGCCCATGCCCATGCCCATGCCCATGCCCATGCCCATGCCCATGCCCATGCCCATGCCCATGCCCATGCCCATGCGCACCTATGTGTCCTCCTATGTGTCGCCTGGCAGGAACGAGTGGCTGCAGCAGGCGAGGGAGGACTGGCAGAAGCGCGTGGCGGAGCAGGGAGACGACGCCGGGTGAGCAGAGCAGATCTGCTGCCCCTTCCCCTCCGCCGCACCCCCTTGCGTCTTCCTCACCTCACGCTTCTTTGCTCCCTCTTTGTGCCAGCCCCTGTTGTCTGCGGCATATCGTTCACTTCCCCTGAAGCCACCAGCCTTTCGCTCCATTGCTCGTCTCATCTCCTTTCAGCTCTAACTCTGTGTCAGTCCTCTATCCTCTGTATTAAGCCGTCTCCTCCTCTCTCCTCTCCCCGCTACCTATGTACCAATCTGAACCGTGATGAACCGCCTAGCACCTCTCTTCGTCCTGATCTCCGTAGGTGATTTTGTAGTCGACTCAAAAAATCACTCCAGCGCCTCGCTTCGTCCTCATCTCCGTTCACCTCCCAGCGTCCCACCATGTCTCGCGATCCCTTTTCCACACGTCGCCCATCCCTTGCGTTCCCACCCCTTCCCTTCTGCCCAATCCTTCTTGCAATCACGCACTTCAGCAGCCTGCCCCAATCTGCATCCTTGTCCGCATGCCGCTCCTCCCCCTCCTCCCCCTCCGCCCCCTCCGCCCCCTCCTCCCCCTCCTCTCCCCCCACCCTTGGTGCTTTGTTGATTGCTCAGGAGGTGTGATGCCGACGAGTCTATTTTTGAGGCGCCTCAAAAATAGACTCTCCCCCCACCCTTGTTGCTTTGTTGATGCCTTCGTTGTTCAGGAGGTGCGATGCCGACGATGGGGATGAAGTGAGGCCGCCTGCCAAGGCCAGGAAGATGGAGGAGGGGAGGGAGGGAGGGGCAGAGGAGGGAGGGGGGGCGGAGGAGGAGGAGGAGGAAGAGGAGGATGAGGACGCATATCCCAAGGGGCTTATCCTGGGGTATAGTCTGTTGGTTCCTGGGGATGGTGCTGGGGAGAAGGGTAAAGAGGAGAAGGCGGAGGGGGAGAAGGGAGGGGTTAGCAATGGGGAGGTGAAGGAAGGGGAGGAGAAGAAGGAAGGGGAGGAGAAGAAGGAAGGGGAGGAGAAGAAGGAAGGGGAGGAGAAGAAGGAAGAGGAGGAGAAGAAGGAAGAGGAGGAGAAGAAGGAAGGGGAGGAGAAGAAGGAAGGGGAGGAGAAGAAGGAAGAGGAGGAGAAGAATGACACGGATAAAGAGATGGTGGATGCAGCAGAAGTGGAGAAGAATGCGGAAGAGAAACAGAAGAAACCGGAGGAGGAAGGGAAGGAAGCAGAGAAGGGGGAGGAAGAGGAGGGCGTGGAAGGGGCAGCAGAGGGGAAAGGGGACGAGAAGAAGGGAGAGGAGGGAAAGAAGGAGGAGGGGGAGAAGGAGAAGGAGGAGGAAGAAGAGAAGGCGGGCGGTGAGGCGTTGGGCAAGAGGAAGCGGGAGGAGCGCGTTGTGGCGGAAGGGGTGACCCGGGAGGAGTGCCGCTTCGTGTTTGAAAAGTTTGGCATTGTCAAGGTGGGTTCTAGGTGCCGTTCTTGGAAACAAACGCCTGAGGTTGTGGTAATGCTGCCTGGCAGACCAGCTAGCTGCATGGCCTGTAACCTGCTCCTTCCTTTCCCCATATTAGGAACTGCCATGGTTTCCTCCCTTGCACTAATCCTCACTCCCTTGGCCTTCGTCTGACTTGCTCCAAGTCTCACTTCCTCCTGCATCCCCCGTTTGCTCTATCCGCAGGTCATGGAGTACAAGGCGGGCGACATGACTGGGTAAATTCGGTGGTGACTCTCGAGTCTCGAGTCGACTCTGACTCACAAGTCTCGCTACCTCCCTCCCTCCTTTCCCCACCTGCTCGCCTCACCCCGGCTCCCGGCAGTTCGTGGAGTACAAGGCGGGCGACCTGAGCGGGTTCATTCGGTTTGAGTCGCCGGAGGGGCCCATCAAGGTCAGCAACAAGGCCAAGTCTGCGCCGGCTGCGCTCACCATCAAGGGCTACCCCGTCACTGTGCACATCCTCCAAGGTGGGGATACTGATACTGTGCTGCGGCTGCTGCTGCTGCTGCTGCTGCCACTGGTTTCCGTGTTTGACTTGTGGCTTTTGGGACGTCTTAATACGCGCCTGTGGCGCTCACCATCAAAGGGGGGGAAGGGGTGGGGGGGGGGGGGGGTTACTCTGTCATGGTTCCGAATCCTGGAACGTGTGGGATTAGTGTCACAGTGCTGCTGCTAATGCCTCTGAAATGAGTGCAAGACTAATTGCTTGACTGGAAAGCATGCTCTGGGCAAATGCAGGCGTGGTGGTGGTGGTTCCGTAGCTTATGTGCGAACAGCACAGTTCCAGCTTGTTGCCTGATCGGGAGAGAGCTCAATTCCCTCGCTCGTGTGCATGTGACTGACTTGTGCCTCGCTCGTGGTTGCATTGCAGGGGAGGAGGAGGCGGAGTACTGGAGCAAGCTGAGGGACGGGCAGAAGAAGCGCAAGGACGCAGGAGGCAGAGGCGGTGGCGGCTTCCGGTGAGACCTCTAGTCGTTATACTTCGTCAACAGTGCCTTTCCTTGGCTTCTGACCCTCTCTCCCCTCCCGCCTCTTCCCCTGCCTCCTAGATCCTTCCCTTGGGATCCGTCCCAACCTCTCCCCCCCCCCCCGGTAATGCCACCTCAATCTGCCTTCCTCAATATTTCCTTTCTATCCTCTTCGCGAATGTTGGGCTTACCTTGTGCACGTCCCACAGGGGTGGCAGGGGGTGGAGGGGAGGCAGGGGTGGGCGAGGAGGGCGGGGGCGAGGTGGAGGCCGGTGGGGAGGGAGGAGAGACGGGCGAGGAGGAGGCAGAGGGGGTGGTGGGAGAGGAGGAGGAGGCGGCGGGAGGGGGGGTAGCCACCAGAGGTTTGACGAATAAACGACTGAAGATGGATAGTCGCTGGTATTGGAGGAGGGTCGCATGGCATGGCATGGTCGAAAAAATGACCAGTTTTGACAGTGTAATGTTTCTGATGATGGGCCTGGTGAAATGAGAGGCAGTACCGGTAGTTAAAGGGTGGGATGCAGTGAGGTGGGAAGGGTAGGCAGTGCTTTGGAAGGCTGTTCAACATGCAAGAATCTGAACTTCTGTGGCTGTTTTAGAGTTGCTTAAAGCAGAGCAGACACATCATTGGCAGCAGATTTTATGTTTTGAGTCAGCTTCTCTGGTGCAGCGAGAAGCTAGCATAGTGAAGGAGTGTCAACTTATATCTATATGTTATAGGCCAGATAGGTGCGTGCTCATAGAGAACACTGTTAGGTTATCGAAAGAATCAATTGACTAACTAGAAGTGTTGAAGGGTGCAAGAGCAGGGCTGTACCTTCTAAGAACTGACCTAGGCTATATGCAAATATAAACTTTCTAAACTAAAATTATGTTTGTTGACACACCCCCTAGCCTAGATAGATAGTGACAGTTCATAACAAGGAAACGTACACAAGGGCAACACTAGTCTGACCTCTGGTGAGGGTAACAAGACAACTCAGGGCAGCACTACTAGTCTGACCATTGAGACAAGAGGCCACAAGGCTAGTCAGCAAGTGTAGCAAGGCAAGCAGGTACAAAACGGCTCAAGATACAAGGAGTGGTGGTGCTACAGAGGCTAGACCAAGCAGAGTACAGAACCGCTGATGGTCCCGAGGCGCAAACGCCTTGGTGAAGATATCAGCGGTGTTTGCCTCTGAGGCCAACTGTACCATACGAACCTGACCGCGCTGCTTCAACTCACGCAGCAGGAAATACCGCACCTAGATGTGCTTCGCCCTGCCCTCAAGTCAAGCCTCCTGACACAAGAGGATTATGACCTTGTTGTCAGCAAACAGGACCAGGGCAGAGCTAGGCTGCTCACCTAAGTCTGTGAGCAAGAACTCTCAAAGTTAGAATAGTCAACTAGGGAGCATACAGGGGTATATAGCTAATGGGTTGTACTCTCTATGGCATGACCCTATGTAGTCTACTAAACATACACACATATGTTTGACACACCCCCTAGACTAGATAGGGGAAGTGTAGGGGAGAGACAAGCAGCTCAAGGCAGCACTACTAGTCCAACCTCTGAGACAGAAGTCTAAAGACCAGTCAAAAGAGTACAAACAAGGCAAGATCAAGACCAGGGCGGCATTACTAATCCAGCCACTGGGAGAAAGCCACAAGGCCAATCAGGATAATATATAAAGAGTTATGCACAATCAACGTCCTAGCAAATGAGGTGCTACAGGCACGAGACTGAGCTGTACGCAGTGCCGCAGATGATCTTTAGGCGCAAGCACCATCGTAAAGATATCAGCTGTGTTGGCACCGGAGGCCAAGTGTACTATGCAGGCCTGGCGACGCTGCAGTAGCTCGCGCAGGAGGAAGTACCGCAGCTGGATGCGCTTCGCTCTGCCCTCGATTCTGGGCTCCTGACACATGAGGATCATGGCCCTGTTGTCAGCGTACAGGACCGGGGCAGAGCTAGGCTGCTCACCTAAGTTTGTGAGCAAGAAAGTCAGCCAGCGGAGCTCCTGTGCCGCCATGGCACCGGCGTAGATCTCAGCCTCACAGCTAGACTGGGCAACAAGCAACGAGCGGGTGGACCTCCACGAGACAGCACCTCCACCAAGGCTAAAGCAGTAGCCCTGGGAGGACCTGAGAGTATCGGCATCGTCCGCCCAAGAAGCGTCTGTGTGCCCGGTAAGGACCACTGGCCTGCGTCCTCCTAGCACTAGCCCCATGTAGAACCCTCTTAGCTGCATACCAGTGCTGTGCTCGGTGTCTGCCGGAGGCCACAAAGCGGGCCAGGATGCTGAGAGGGTATGCAAAATCTGGACGAGTGCAAGTTATTAGGTACATGAGGCAACCCACGAGCTTTGCGTAAGGACCACTAGGCTCTACAGCTTCCTCCGGGACTGGAGCAGAGAGTCTGTGGTCTATTGGCAGTGGGGTGGGTTGTGCAGAAGAGAACTGAAAGCCGAACCTCTGAAGGACCTGGTGCACCAAGTGTGACTATGTGAGAGTGATGGTGCGCGCGACTTTGTCCCTGGAGATCTGCAAGCTAAGGTAGCGGCGCAGCTCTCCTAGGTCAGTGCAGGTGTGTCTCCTCAGCCGCTCGGCCTTCACGCAGGCCAGCGCGTCTCTGTCTGTAGTAGCAAAGACCTGATCGTCTACGTAAACAAGGATGTAGAACGGAGTCTGGCCGAAACGGACGAAAAGCGAGCGGTCTGCAGAGGACGGGAAGAACTGTAGGTCAGCAAGTGTAGCACGCAACGTGTCGTGCCACTTACAGGGCGCCCGGCACAGGCCATAGACAGGGCGCCGGAGGAGCCACTCGGTACCATGGGAAAAGGTATCAGAGAAGCCCTAGGGGCGGCGCAGGTAGACCTGGCCAGAGAGTGGCCATCCTGCCGCTGACCAGTGAGATGATGGCTAAGGTCGACGAGCCACGCGTCGAACTCAACCGGCTGACCCTCCGCGCCAAAGTGCAGCACCGAGTCCGTCATTATGGCTGCTGCAGCCGGGAACAGGCGGTGAAGGGCGGGACGGAGTGACGAGGAGCAGTGGAGAGCAGTGCTGTACGGTGCAGTGTGGTGGAACATGGTGCAGTGCAGCGCCGAGCGATGCAGTGCGGTGCCGCACGGTGCAGAGCGGTGCAGTGGGGTGGGACGCGGTGCAATGCGGTGCAGTGCGGTGGGGCGTGGTGCAGTGCGGTGCTGCACGGTGCTGAGCGGTGCAGCATGGTAGGGCGCAGTGCATGATGGTGGAGAGGGCCGGTTTAGCGAGCGCGGACCGGGAAACACGACCAAGGGTGGAGGAGGGGGCGGATGAGCAGCTGGGCGACAAGGCCACGAGGCGGCTGGGCGACGAGGCCGCGGGGCAGCTAGGCGACGGGGCGGGTAGGCGACAGAGCAGCGAGGCGACAGGGTGGCTAGGCGACGAGGCGGCTAGGCGACTGGCCGACGGGGCGGCTAGGCGACGGGGCCGCGGGGCGGCTAGGCGACGGGGCCACCGGGCGGCTAGGCGACTAGGCGACAGGGCCACGGGGACGTTAGGCGCCGGGTGACGAGACGACGGGGCCACCGGGCGGCTGGGCGACTAGGCGACAGGGCCACGGGGACGTTAGGCGCCGGGTGACGAGACGACGGGGCCACAAGCGGCGAGGCGCTAGGTGACGGAGCCACGGGGCCACGGGCGGCTAGGCGCTAGGTGACGGGGCCGCGGGGCCACGGGCGGCTAGGCGCTAGGTGACGGGGCCGCGGGGCCAGCGGGGCGGCTAGGTGCTAGGGAACGGGGCCGCGGGGCCAGCAGGCGCTAGGAGACGGGGCCAACGGGCCAGCTAGGCGACAGGGCAGTGGGGCCAGCAGGGCTAATGGACCTAAGGCGGAAGCGCGGGTGGGGGAAGGGGGGGACCTAACCTACTCATGATACCATCTCAAAGTTAGAATAGTTAACTAGAATGGGAGCATACATGGGTATATAGCTAGTGGGTTATACTCTCTATGGCATGACCCTATGTAGTCTACTAAACATACACACATATGTGCTAGACTGAGCTACACACGACGACCTGGTGGACCTCCACGAGACTGCACCAGCACCAAGACTAAAACAGTAGCCCTGAGACGACCTCAGTGTCTCCAACTCGTCAGCCCACGACGTGTTTGTGTGTCCAGTAAGCACCAATGGCTCCCGTCCTCCTAGCACAAGCCCCAGTCCTTATGTACTCGCCAGATACCGCAGTACCCTCTTGGCAGCCGACCAGTGGACTGGTCGGTGCCTGCCTGTTGCAACAAAGCGAGCCAGGAGACTGAGAGGGTATGCTAGATCTGGTCAAGTGTAGGTCATGAGCTATATGAGGCACCTCACAAGCTCTGCGTATGGACCACTAGCCTCGACCGGCTCAGTCGGAACAGGAGTAGGGAGCTTGTGATCCATAGGCAGAGGAGTGGGCTGTGCTGAGGAGAACTGGAGACTGAACCTCTGGAGGATCTGCTGCACCATATGGGACTAGGAGAGTGTGATCGTGCGAGCGGCATGGTCACGAGACATCTCCAAGCACAGATAACGCCTTTGCTACCCCAAGTCTGTACAGGTGTGTCTCCTAAGTAACTTGGCCTTCACTGAGGCCAGTACGACTTTGTCAGGAGTAGCAAAGATAAGATCGTCTGCGTACACTAGGATGAAGAACGGTGTCTGACCCGTGCGAACAAAGAGAGAGGGGTCAGCAGAGGACGGAAAGCACTACAGCTCAACAAAAGTGGTGCGAACCGTGTCGTGCCACTCACGAGGTGCCTGACGAAGGCCGTAGACAGGGTGATGCAGGCTCCATTGAGTCCCACGTGGGAAGGACCCAGAGAAGACTAGTGGGCACCGGAGACTAGATCTTCTCATGCAGACTACCTTGCAGGAAGGATGTGGAGAAGTCGAGTGAGTGAAGCTCGTAGTCACGTTGTGCATGTATGTGGAGAAGGACCCGAAAACTAGTCATCTTCGGGGTGCAGACCGGTGAGGGAGCCGGAGGGGATAGCTGGACAAGGGAGAGTGGTGGTGCTACGTGTGACAGCTGTGGTGGAGGAATCTGTTAGTGCGACACGGACAAGCGCAGGAAGCGGGGTGAGAGCAGTGCTGTCTCTAAAGAAGCAACGAGATGTGCCCGACTCAAGGATAAAGGAGTGGGCCGCCTCAGGAGGGGCAGGGGAGGAGCCTAGGGGATACGAAGTAGAGGCTCCTAGACTAGATACAGTGGTGGGACCTAGACCCCTAGGCCCCAACGCCCCCGGTCCTCCACAGAAACCACACTGGCCCCAAGACAGTGACCGCCCTGAGGCCGCACCTCTAGAACCTCCACTTTGCCCAGCACCCCCAAGACCCCACTGTGGCTGTTCCCGCTGTCGCCGCTGCTGCTGCTGCTGCGGCTGCTGCACTGGCTAGAGAGCCCGAAAGCAAATGTCAAGGTCGTGGAGCCAAAAACCGAGGAGATAACTAATGTGATCCTTTAGGAGCGTGCAGTCTAGGTGCGGGCTTACGAGCTGTAGACGGTGAGCAAGAAATCGAAGAGCAGAGGAAAGTGCCCCGCAGTCTGGCCGAGGGACGGACCCGAACGAGGCCATCATGCTGAGAGGAGAGGAACTCTAGAAACGAGTAGGAGACTAGTGGAAGGCACTATGTGATACAGGAGCGCTAGCGGAGGGAGTAGCAGTGGCAGATGTGGCTTGAGCAGTGGCAGCGAGCAGGAAGCAAGAAGCTGCAAATAGGAGTAGAAAGCAAACGAGGA